TCTCTAATATGTTAAGATTCTGCTTATGTCTCTCTAATATGTTGAGATTCTGCTCATGTCTCTCTAATATGTTAAGATTCTGCTTATGTCTCTCTAATATGTTAAGATTCTGCTTATGTCTCTCTAATATGTTGAGATTTTGCTTTACGTCTCTCTAATATGTTAAGATTCTGCTTATGTCTCTCTAATATGTTAAAATTCTGCTTATGTCTCTCTAATATGTTGAGATTCTGCTCATGTCTCTCTAATATGTTGAGATTCTGCTTATGTCTCTCTAATATGCTGAGATTCTGCCTATGTCTTTCTAATATGTTAAGATTCTGCTTATGTCTCTCTAATATGCTGAGATTCTGCTTATGTCTCTCTAATATACTGAGATTCTGCTTATGTCTCTCTAATATGTTAAGATTCTGCTTATGTCTCTCTAATATGTTAAGATTCTGCCTATGTCTCTCTAATATGCTGAGATTCTGCTTATGTCTCTCTAATATACTGAGATTCTGCTTATGTCTCTCTAATATGTTAAGATTCTGCTCATGTCTCTCTAATATGCTGAGATTCTGCTTATGTCTCTCTAATATGCTGAGATTCTGCTCATGTCTCTCTAATATGTTAAGATTCTGCTTATGTCTCTCTAATATGTTAAGATTCTGCTTATGTCTCTCTAATATGCTGAGATTCTGCTTATTTATAAAGACAGAGGAACCTTCAGACAGACAGTGGTCTCTTGTAATGAAATTGATCCTTTATAACAGAAACAACAACAAAAAACAAAAAAAAAGCAAATGAAATGTTTTACTTTTCTTTGTTTAGCTGATTAGTCTTTACTTGTCATTCATTTCTTTTCTCTTTTGCTTGTTAGGCACAGATTAAGGTAGTCCTACGGAAGAAACTAAATCTTAGATATGAAGTGCTAGGCCTTATGCATTAGTGAGGTAGGGTGGTCTTTTCTCTTCCTCGTCACTTTCATTCACAGATAGTTCCAGAAAAAACTGTTACATGAATATTGCATACTCCCCAAGTGGGCTCTAGGACTCTGTTTTGAAGAACAAAGAATAGCCCCCACCGTGCTCAACAAGCATATTGTGTTAGATGACTAACTATGGGTGTTTCCTTTAGAACTATAGTGCACCTGTCTGAGAGGCAATGAACCAACAGTTTGCATACGAATAAGTCAGGTCTGTAAAACATATCAGGTTCTGGATCAAGTAAGTCCATGAGTGGAAAAAGAGCCAGGACTTTCCACCAGAGTTTTCAACTGGGGAACATGACGAAGAACAAGAAGAAGAATATTGTATTTATTTTAAAATGCTGAGTAGGTCACAGAACTCTACTGTTAGAAAAAAGAATAAACAATTTTACCATTGATGACTTCATTGACCTCAGACCACTGCTTTATAAGGTGAACCACATAATTGACCCCCAGACCACTTCTTTTAAGGCAAACCACTAAATTGACCTCAGACCACTGCTTTATAGGCAAACCAGTTAATTTACCCCCCCCCCCCCCCCTTTCCGCCCCCTCTAACCCAGCTTTAAAACAAACCAGTTAATTGACCCCAGACTACTGCTTTATAAGACAAACCAGTTAATTGATTCCCCCATACCACTGCTTTATACGGCAAACCACTTAATTGACCTCAGACCACTGCTTTATAGGCAAACCAGTTAATTGAACCCCCCCCCCCCCCCCCCCCTTTTTCAGACCACTGCTTTATAAGGCAAAAAAGTTAATTGAACCCAGACCATTGCTTTATAAGACAAACCAGTTAATTGATTCCCCCAGATCACTGCTTCAAAAGGCAAACCAGTTATTTGACCCCAGACCACTGCTTTATAAGGAAACCACTTAATTGATCACTGACCACAGCTTTATAAGGAAACCACTTAATTGACACCCAGTCCACTGGCTTATAAGGCAGACAACTGAATTGACCCCTGACCACTGTCTTATAAGGCAAACCACTGATGGCTGTATTGGCATGGCACAGTACTTTCTGTTCCACTGTTTAAAAGACAGTTAGTGTTTGTAGTGTTTAAATAGCTTTTGTGAAATTGCTAGGTCATCAGTGATATTTTTACTTTAAAACTGTAGTTTTTAAATGGATAAACACTGTTATCCTTATATTTTCCAGCAATGCTTGTTTAAAATGGTGTGTACTTATGTACTTTGACAGCCAGTTGGATACACCATGCAGCAGTGGTGCCTCATCTCCAACCATTACGGTGACACAGAGTCCCTTGTCCATGTCCCGTGGAGGATGGACAACTGGAAATACAACAGAGAGGAGCAGCTTATACTCCACATACTCAATGGAAGTAAGTTTTATCACATGTTGTTTTATGTGAGATTGACTCCACTTACTCATTGGAAGTAAGTTTTATCACATGTTGTTTTATGTGATGTTGACTCCACTTACTCAATGGAAGTAAGTTTTATCACATGTTGTTTTATGTGAGATTGACTCCACTTACTCATTGGAAGTAAGTTTTATCACATGTTGTTTTATGTGATGTTGACTCCACTTACTCAATGGAAGTAAGTTTTATCACATGTTGTTTTATGTGATGTTGACTTCACTTACTCATTCGAAGTAAGTTTTATCACATGTTGTTTTATGTGATGTTGACTCCACTTACTCAATGGAAGTAAGTTTTATCACATGTTGTTTTATGTGATGTGACTCCACATACTTGATGAAAGTCAGTTTTATCACGTCAAATTATGTGATGTTGATTCTACATACTTGATTAATGTAAGTTTCTTAGGAGGCTGCTTGGTCTCGAGGCATGGCATCGTCTCAAGTGCTGGAGATCCCAGGTTCAAGCCCCAGTGAAGGCTAAGATTTTTTCCCATAGACTTCTAGTAATTTCCCCTGGTCTCTTGGTAGTAAGATTGGATGCCTGTGTGTATTGTTGCACATGTAAAAATGCCTTGACAGTTGGAAATCAAAAAATGAGTAGCCTAACGGCACTGCCCAGGCAAAAATTGGAGTTAAAAATCTACCAAAAGTATTTCAGGGTCCTTGCCATTGCTACAAAGTTCATGCGCTTCGCTGAGTTTCATCCAACTCAGGCTTGAGTCAGAAGTAGAACGGAGCACTTATGGGTTACTACCCTTGTGCCATGATTTTGATCCATCGTTAGAATCTAACCCTAAAGTAAGTTTTATCACATGTTGTTTTATGAGAGGTTAACTCTACATACCTGATTGAAGTAAGTTTTGAATCTCGTTTTATATGAAATTGACTCAAATACTTGATTAAAGGTAGTTTATCACATCATATTATGCAAGATTGATTCCACATACTTGATTAAAGTAAGTTTTATCATGTCATGTTAAGTAAGGTTGACTCCAAATACTTTTTTGAAGTAACTTTTATCACATATTGTTTTATGTTATGTTGACTCCACATACTTGATAAGAGTAAGTTTTATTACATGTCATATTATGTGAGGTTGACTCCACGTACTTCATAAAAGTAAGTTTTATCATGTCATGTTATGTGAGGTTGACTCCACATACTTGATAAAAGTGAGTTTTATCACATGTCATTTTATGTAAGATTGACTCCACATACACATCACATATAAAGTCATGCTGACTCGACCTTGTCCATTGAAGTAAATGTTATAACATGATATGTTGGGATGTTGATTCAAAATACTCGTGTGAACCATATATGCCATGTGTTTGAATCCCAAAACTCAATGTAAGTAAGTTTTTTCAAATATAATGTCACCTTGACTACACTTACTCCATGTAAGTGTTATGCTATGACAAGTTAATGCAAAATATTATATGGATGTAGATATCATCACCTGTCATGTCAGATCAACCACATACTCAGTGGAAGTAAATTTTCTAAACTAATTGACTACTTATTAAATGTTTTTCTTGTCTATAATTATGTTTTAGTTGCTATTATATACAACACTACCCTGTTCTTGTCTAATCTTTCAATGCTTTTTTCAGTTGTCTTTTAGCAATCTACAGTCACTAAGACTAATGCAGTATATACAGTTTTTGTCTAATTATCTATTGCTTGTTTAGTCTCTACATGCAAATTTGGTGAATGCATTTTTGTGCATATTATTTATGTTGTCATGTTAAGTCTGTATAAAGTATCCTGTTTTGTTAAGTTGTCAATATTTTTCTGTATTTTGTGTTTGCAGTGTCAGATTAATCCAATTTGTTTGATGTGGCTTATCAGCACAGCAAAATATTACAAAGCCCAGATGTGTATTCATATAGTCTTTCAATTATGCTTGTAGTCTAGGGTTTTGTTAATGCAAGTGACCAACAAATTAACCGTATCATGTGTATAGTAGAGAGGAAGAAACAACACAGATTAATAATCTGTTTGTCACCACTAATCAATGGCATCATGTGTGCTAATAAACTACAGTGGTTGTGGTAAATATAGAGAGTATGGTAGATAACAGTCTGCATACACACAAAAAGTTGAATGTGAGAAGACCATGGTTTAGACTAAGACGGTGGTGGAGGTATATTAACCAGGCAGATAGTCTGGCTGTTTCTGCACCACTTGCTGGTGAATTGATGTATGACAGGCCAGATGTGTAAGGGCCCTTTGGGAGCAGGTGAACAGTGCGGAGGCACAAATAGATCATTATGGTCTGACAAGAATGGTGCTGCAAGGAGTTACCAAGGGATCTGGCAGACGCTCAACACTCGAGAGAAAGGCGAGACAGATATACAGTCAAGACAGTTACTGGTACTATTGGAATAGGAACTCTTCGCTTGCTGCTGAAGATGGGGACGGAGCACTTATCGGAGTGTGATGATGTGGATTCTTAATTCAACATTCAACAGTTTTTAACCCGGCAGACCTAGAAACCCTAAAAGTTACTAAGTTGGAAGAGGCTAATCAGTAGCTGAACAGAGGTGGGTGATATCTGCAGCAGTGAACCTTAAGGGCTAGGAATGTTAAAGAAGAAGAACATGGGTATAGTCTTTCATTTCTCCACTTTACCAGGATTTTGACAAGCTGGCAACTAATGCAGTGTCTCAGCACTTTGAGGAGATAAACTCCATTTTGTTTGAGGGTCAAAAGGAAAACTTGACCCAACATGCTGATGTTGCCAGGGAGTGTCAGGAATGGAGTTCTCAGTTTCCACATCTCAGGTATGCCAGTTTGTAAATCTGCAAACAGCCAGCCTGTTTAATATTCTTTTTTGAATTATTCCTTTCTTTCTGTGGTTGTGTCAAATATTGTTTTATTACTTATTTTCTGTTATTTGTACAATTAGTGTCTTTGCTATTTCCTGTTATGCATATTAACTAATTAGTTAGATATTGTCTTCTCAACAAAGATTAGCTGCAAAATTATCCAGCATCCTGCCTCTGTTTGTTCATTTGTTGATGTCTCCTTCTTCGTGTATTAGTATCCTTCTCATACTCACCTGTCTTCAACTGTTTTCTCCAGGATAGTGTTTATTAAAGTATGCAACATTTAGACATCACCGTAAATCTGTCAGAAAGTTCTGGCTGTTTGTCCACTTCTGGACTTAAGTGTTTTTCCAGAACTAGAGTTTTGCAGTCCTGGCTTATTTATATGCAGACTTTTGGCCTCTCGCCCTTTAGGCAGATGCACTCTGACTGCAAAGGAATATTTCCTTAAGCAACTCTCTGTTCATTCTTATTTTGTGTAGAACCTGTGTATTTGATTGACACTGTTTCCATGAAATAGAACCTGTTCTTTTGTAAATCATAAATCAATTGTATGCAGCATTCACAGTGAAGGCTGCTTGTAGTGCACCCACTGCTGCCTTTGGGAGTCATTTAGAGTAAGGTCCCAGTGGCCAAGTCATCTAGACATTTATCTTGTTCTCTTTCCCTTGATCTTTTTCTGTCAATCTTTCCAGTTGTCACTAAGTCTGTTCCAATTCATTTGTTTAATTTCTGTTAATCAGTTTATTTTTTGACATCACAGGGAGTATTCCTTGTTTGTTGTCTATCATTTCATGATACATTTCAAATTTTTCTCCCCCCCCCAAAAAAAAGCATATCTCCACATGAAGTTGGTGTTTTTCAATTTCTCTGCTGATCGTCCTTGTCTGTACATGCATATAACATGACAGGTTGCTGAGATACAGAAGACAAAAAACAAAACAAAAACATTAAAAAATGAATAAATGAACTGTCTCAGGAAACAAACGCCATAGTGTAAGGGGCATGCACAGTAGACCGTTTTTGAGAGCACTAACCCTGTCATGATGTCATGAAACAAACAGGGAAAAAATAGCAGGAGAAACAGGAAGAGAAGGAGGCTATAATATAAACAAGTGTGTACTAACTGACTGTTTTCATGTCTGTGAAACATTTTTTTTTTAAATGCTATCTTGGCAAATTTTACCACAGCACAGATGTCTTCTGTTATATGTTATACCACATAATTTACCATGGCACAGCCTTCTTCCCTGATATATTATACCACACAATTTACCATTGCACAGCCTTCTTCCCTGTTATATTATGCCACATAGTTTACCATGGCACAGACTTCTTCCCTGATATATTATACCACATAATTTACCATTGCACAGACTTCTTCCCTGATATATTATACCACACAATTTACCATTGCACAGCCTTCTTCCCTGATATATTATGCCACATAGTTTACCATGGCACAGACTTCTTCCCTGATATATTATGCCACATAGTTTACCATGACGCAAGCTTCTTCCCTAATATTCTTTTTTGTATGTGGTAAAGTCCACGTCATGTGGCATTTGTAGTCATGTCTGTCTGCAACCTTCTGTTTTGTGTACTTTCAATCAGTTCTGACACAGAGAGTTTCCATTCCATGGTGTTAAACTGTCCAGCATCTTCTCTCTCTGTCTTCGGCTGCCTTTCTAATCCAACTTTCCCCCCTCACAATGTACTCCAGTTTTTTCCTTTTCATGACATGACCAAAGTAGTAGATTGTCTCCTTCTGATGTGGGCAATCATTGTTTTTCGCTAGTCAGTTTTTTTCGAGACCTCTTCATTACTGTTGTTATTTCTCCAACCTTCTCCTCTGATGTCTTATACCACATAGATTACCAGGGCACAACCTTTTCCCCTGATATTTAATGCCACAGTTTAACATGGCACAACCTTCTCCCTTGATGTCTTATACCACATAGTTTATCGTGGCACAACCATCTCCTCTGATGTCTTAAACCCCACAGTTTATCATGGCACAACCATCTCCTCTGATGTCTTATACCACATAGTTTATCATGGCACAATTATCTCCTCTGATGTCTTAAACCACATAGTTTATCATGGCACAACCATCTCCTCTGATGTCTTATATCGCATAGTTTATCATGGGTCAACCTTCTCCTCTGGTGTCTTATATCGCATAGTTTATCATGGCACAACCATCTCCTCTGATGTTTTATACCACATAGTTTATCATGGCACAACCATCTCCTCTGAGGTCTTATATTGCATAGTTTATCATGGCACAACCATCTCCTCTGGTGTCTTATATCACATAGTTTATCATGGCACAACCATCTCTTCTGATTTCTTATACCACATAGTTTATCATGGCTCAACCATCTCCTCTGATGCCTTATACTACATAGTTTATCATGGCCAACCATCTCCTCTGAGGTCTTATATTGCATAGTTTATCATGGCACAACCATCTCCTCTGAGGTCTTATATTGCATAGTTTATCATGGCACAACCATCTCCTCTGATGTCTTATATCGCATAGTTTATCATGGCACAACCATCTCCTCTGATGTCTTATACCACATAGTTTATCATAGCACAACCATCTCCTCTGATGTCTTATATCGCATAGTTTATCATGGCACAACCATCTCCTCTGTTGTCTTATGCCACATAGTTTATCTTGGCACAACCTTCTCCTCTGTTGTCTTATACCACATAGTTTATCATTGCACAACCTTTTCACCTGATATCTTATACCATATACTTTACCTTGATATAGCATTCTCCCTCATGCCTTTTACTACATAATTTAATGAGGCAGCTATCACGTGTTATACTATAAATTCAGCACATAGCATGACATGACTGAACTATGCTATTGTTTTTATAATTAGTCCAAAAAAGAATTTTGTATTTTCATTTAGGGTTCTGGGTAAACAAGCATGCACTCCCAAAGACACAGGTTTCTACCATGTGTCATCACCTCAGGGTTCTAGACCCACCTCTTCTAGCATGGCTCTGGTAGCTTCAGACACTGGTAGCTCTAGCTCAGATTCTCAGGGGTAAGTTGCACGTCAGTGTTCAGTTACATGTAAATGATTACCTATTTGTAATTCTTCAGGTACATGTGAATGTTGAGCTAAATGTGATCTTCACTAAATATGAAAACAGTTAGCTGTTTGTGAATGTTTAGCTACATGTGAGTGTTCAGCTACATGTATGTCTTGACTTCTGTATGTGAATGTTCAGTTTTTTATGAGTCTTTACTTATGTGTAATTGATTAGCTGTTTGTGAATGTTCAGCTACATGTGAGTGTTCAGCAACATGTTTGTCTTGACTTCTGTATGTGAATGTTCAGTTATTTATGAGTCTTTACTTATGTGTAATTGATTAGCTGTTTGTGAATGTTCAGCTCTGTGTGAATGTTCACTTACGTGTGAAGGATGAGCTGATCGTGAAAGTTTAGCTGTGTATGAATGTCCAGCTGTGTGTAAATGTTCATTACATATGAGTCTTTACTTATGTGTGAATGATTAGCTCTGTGTGAGTGTTCAGCTACATGTCTTTACTTGCGTGCATAAGTGTTCAATCACATATGAGTCATGTGTGTCATGATAAGCTGTGTGAATGTTCTGTTACATGTGATTTTCTTATGTGTGAATTATTACCTGTTTATGAATGATTAGTTGTGTTGAGATGAGTTGAGTTGAGTCAAGAATTGACATCACAGCACTCAGGGCATTCCCATGCATGCTCCATCCTCATCTTCAGCAGCCAGTGCAGAGTTCCAATACTGATGGTACCAGTCATAATCTGGTTATATCTCCATCTTGCCTTTTCTCTCAGTGTAGTCAGCCGGCCAGACCCTCTGGTTACATCCAGGTGCCTCATTCTCTCCAGGCCATAATAATCTTCTTTCTCTACTAATTCCATTGCTTGTTCCCAGAGGGCCTTGACCACATCTGCCTTGTCATGTATCAGTTCACCACACAGTGGTGCAGATCCAGCCAGTCTGTCTGCCTGTTCATTACCGACTACACCGGCATAGCTTGGAAAAAAGATCTAAAGTATGCTCACTACCCGTGACCTTCTCGAAGCATCCTTGTTTCCACCTTTTTCAGCGTGATTTCAGAGTCTTTTACAATTATAGGATGTGTATTGATTAGCTGTGTGTGAATGAGTAGCTATATATGTGAATGATTAGCTATATTTTAATGAGTAGCTGTATGTGAATAAATAGCTATATTTTAGTGAGTAGCTATATGGTTATGGGAATGATTAGCTATCTGTGAATGAGTAGCTAATGTGAATGATTAGCTAATGTGAATGGTTAGCTGTGTGTGAATGCATAGATGTTTGTGAATGATAAGCTATATGTGAATGTTCAGTTATATGTGAATGCTTTGTTATGTGTGATGATCAGCTGTGTCTGAATGCTGAGTTATATGTGAGTTTTCAGCGATATATGAATGATCAGCTATGTGTGAAGGCTCAGTTATGTGTGAATGCTCAGTTATGTGTGAATGCTCAGTTATGTGTCAATGATCAGTTATGTGTGAATGATCAGTTAAATGTGAATGCTCAGTTATTTGTGAATGCTCAGCTATGTTCGAATTATCAGCTGTGTGTGAATGCTCAGTAATGTGCGAGATCTCAGCTATGTGCAAATGCTCAGCTATATGCAAATGATCACTATGTGTGAATGCTCAGTTATATGAAAATGATCGGATATGTGTGAATGCTCATTTATATATAAGTGTTCAGTTATATGTGAATGATCAGCTATGTGTGAATGATTAGCCAAAGTATATTTGTGAAGAAAAAAATCTGACTTGGTGCATTTTCGAACCCAAGATCATGAGACCAGCAGATGAGTATCAAGCCACTCTGCTACATTGGCTCCTGCATATTGTATTAGCCCTGGATTTGTATAGACAAATCAGCCTTCATTGCATGATGTGGCCAGTATAATGCCAGCCACCTTTGCTTCCAAGAACATTTTCAACCTTTTGGTAATTCACACCTAGACCACTGGGCAGGAATGTGAGTTTACTATTCAGTGTGCTAATGTAGCTTCCAAGTCAAATCATTAGCAGTAATGGTACTGTCACAATACTGGCCTGGGATGTGAGTTAGCTAATCACTGTTCTAATGTAGCCCCTAAATAAACTGTTGCCATTAGAACTAATTGTATTGCTGTTATTGACTTATCACATATCTAAAGGCAGGGCATACACGGTTTTTTTTAATAGAAATTATCAGGAACGGTGTTCGGGTATGAATTAGAATGAATTAGAGAAGTTAGCGTGAAAGGTTTATTTAACTGAATAATTGTTTCAGACAGAGCGAGTTAAGGTAATATGCAGAGCTGGATGGATTAATGTGAAAAATAATTGAGACAGAACAAGTTTGGGGATTTAACGTTGATGTGTGTTTTTTGTTAGGTGTTGACAAATATCAAGTATAGGATCTTTTTTTTTTTCTTAAAGAAATTACTTTAGTTGTTTTCCATGTTTCAGCCCCATACACCAGAATCGATTTCCACAGATTTCCTAATGCTAAGAACATTTTTTTTTACCTCTCATATTCTTATTTTATGTATGGATATCAGCCCCCAGTCTTTATCTACATTAATGCCTATATGTGTGTATGTTTGTACATCCTGGCGTGGTTATTGTGTGGTTTGTCTGATTTATTCTTATCTTTGTGGCTCCCCTACGATTTTAGAACCTAAGCTCCAATAGGATATATCGCGAATGCGGCATAAACTCAAACAAGTTCAGCTCTTATTCCCGCTCCTAAGGGACAGGCAATAAAAGAAAGAGATAAGAAAGAAGCTTTTGAATCCAATGTGCGTAACGCATTCAACTTTTCTTTGATATCTACTTTTTTTTTTTTTTACCTTATTATTTTCTTCCGGCTCTAAAAGATAGCAACAATACCTAGTAATCTTTTTTTCCCCTGGTTGCCTTGTGGGTTACCTCAACGTTCTCCATTTCTGCTGAGTAAATAGCTGGCTATAATGGCTGATCCTAAACGATACTCAAAGAAATATGTTCCTTGTATCTTCACTTTTCAGTCAACATAGAAGTGGTTAATAGCTTTTTGTTTGCTTAGGAGATCCAGTGTCTAAATCCCGTTGAACGCCAGACGTATCTATACTTGTTGTAATGAAGAGCCAGTACCCTTTGGCATGTCGGACATGGTGTGAACATGGTGTACTTTTGCTGTAACTTGATAGGCAGCAGATTTCTAAGGAAGATATTTTTCTATAGATGGGGGATTATCGTGGTAACTTTGAGGACGGACGATGTTCCTTTGTACTGGTTAATGTATGTGATTTGGCGGGTGATAAGTCAATAGAGAAGACATGAACTTCATTTCAAGTTGTTCCTCTTGTAATTTTCGGCATCGGCGTTACATACCTGTGCTTGTATTTTGAAGAGTATTGCCACCTGATATGCTGGATGTGTCATGAATATTGTGTATAAAAATTTTCTTTGCTACCGGTATCTACCATTTTTATGGCGGTGTAAAACAGGGTGTGATGTTTTCTTAGTGTAAAATGATAGCAGCAGATTTGTTTAAATGAATCCTTTCCTGAAGAGACTTTTCATGGTTACTTTGAGGACAGCGATGTTCTGTTGTAAGGGCTAGCGTATGGGAGTTGGTGAGGATAACGTGTCTGTAGAAGTCACGAACAAGAACACTTTGTCTGTTCTTGTCTCATCTTGTGTTTATTCCCTTACCTACATAGGACTGCAGGTTACACCTGGCTGGGGTTGCCGTTATAGTCATCCAAATTGTAACTTCTTTAGTGGTTAAACAGTATCTAGTTTGTGCTGTCGACATTAAAATATTGAATGTTGAATTAAGAATTAACGTCACAGCAGTCGTGACACCCCCATAAGTGCTCCGTCCCCATCTTCAGCAGCAAATGAAGAGTTTCAATTCCGATGGCACCAGTAACTGTCTGATTGTATAGTCCTCTCGCCCTTCCATTGAGTGTTGAACGTCAACCAGATCCCCTGGTAACTCCTTGCAGCGCCATTCTCCTCAGACCGTAATCATCTGTTTTTGCTTCCGCACTGTTCACTGGCTCCCTGGGGCCCTAACAACATCTAGCTTGTCATACACCAGTTCACCACCAAGTGGTGCAGAACCGGCCAGTCTGACTGTCTGCTCATTTCAGCCATATAATCTATTTCGGGCTAACAAAAGAAACCCAAACCCAGCGGTTCTCAAATTGGGTGCCGCGGCACTAGTCAAGAATGTTTCCAAATCTGCTTGAGATCAGCGAAAACAGCAGTTTAAAACAGAATTACTATGAAGGACGCCAAGAAGAGTTTGGATGCAGGTGTTTTCAGAAAACAGTGCTATTTGCAAGGCTGCAGTGCATTCTCAGCATACGCTTACATTAAAACAACAGATACAGGAGCAACAATCAAGTGATTTGAGGGTACAATTAACTAAACTTCCAATAAACACATAAAGGCAATAATGAAAAACTCATCCAAACAGTTTCATTCCTCGCATTAAAGGCAACTGAACATTACATTTGCACTGTTTCTTCTTCTTTTCCTAAGTATTCAAACCGCTTTCTCTGCGAAAACATTGAGGTTTGAACAACGGATCAACGTCATGGAACACGGGTAGAAACCCATAAGTGCTCCGTTCTTCTTCTAACTCAGGTCTGAGTCCGAAGAAGCTCAGCATAGTACACAGGCTCTGTAGCACCGGCAAGGATCCTGTAATACTTTTCGGGTAGATAAGTGGAAATCGGGTGGCAATCAAAAAGAGTAGCCTAACGGCGCTGCCCGGGCAAAATTTGGAGTTAAAAATCCACCCAAAGTATTTCAGGATCCTCCTCGCCCAGTTCGAAGAGTAACGGAGCACTTATGGGTTACTACATGTGTGCCATGATGTTGATCTGTTGTTCAAACCTCAAACCTCGTCTGTTTATTTGTATGTCATGTGCTTCTTCAGTTTAGGCATGTTAGTGCTGCTTTGCTGGCTTTATTCACATTAGATGATCGATCCTTTGTCAGGCTGATTTCTTTCTGTCTGCTTTTGTGTTTTCTGCGGTTGATCTTTCCATTCGTCAAAATATTCTTCGATTTCTCCTTCTTCTTTGTGGGTTACAGCTGGACTGTCATATCTGCCATTTTCGGCCCAGCACATGCGATGTTACGAGATCCTTAGTCCTTATTAAGAAGAAGTGAGTTCGTTGTCTAACGCCTCCCAAAATGGGACATCGGAACCCACACGGAGACCTGGCTTCTGATCATATGATCTAACAATACGAAGTCGTCTACCGGCGATCCAGTGGGCGACCCGGTCGCCGATGTGGAGTAGTACATCGGTTCTTAAACTGTTTTGGCCGCCCCACCCTTGTCGGGCAAACACATTTTCCTGGCACAACTACCCTCGAAGCGGTTGAATACCTAGGGGGGGGGGGGGGGGGGGGGGGGGCAGTGCACATTTACTGTTAAGTTGTCTTTAATGCGATGAATGAAACTGTTTGAATGAATTTCTCATTATTTCCCTAATCTATACCTAAAGTTTAGTTAATTTAACCTGTTTTTTATGTAAGCGTAGGGTGAGACTGCCCTGCAGCCTTGCCAATAGCTTTGTCTTCTGAATACGCCTGCATCCACGACTCTTCTTGGCTTCCTTCACGGTGTTTCTGTTTTAAGCTGCTGTCTTCGCGCATCTCAAGCAGATTTTGAAAATTTCTTGATTGTTGCCGCGGCACCCGTTTTAGAACCGCTGGAGTAGTAGACAACTAGTCTTGTTTGGCATATGTCCCAACAGGATGATGACAGTAATATGCTTAATAGGTCACAATGCTCGGAAAGGACACTTATCTACCCTGACGTGAAGCGGCTGGCCGTGTGGTCAGCGCGGTGTGAAAGAATCGGAATCCATCCTGGTTAAGGGGTGGAGATACTGTTTTCTGTTTCCGAACATTCGCAGTTGGTGATGACCGCCCTGGCCATGCGGCCTTTAATCCTCAGAGCCCCGAACACTCTCCGCCCGTCTTACACCACCCTAAACGTTGTTTATACAGGTATTAAAGATAGCCTATTTTACATTATCTCTTTGTTATAAACGAAATACACTTAACGCCAGCACTGTATAACCGTAACCTGGACGACTTTTAGGCAAGGAAGCCCTAAATGCCACATTTTATTATCAACGTGCCAGTCACTCCTTTCTGTTTTGCGTTGCTGTTTGTTTATCTACTCGTTTTGCGACTGTCAAAATCTTTTTGTGGCCAGTTTTTGCTGCTCGAGTGAACCTGAATCCACAATGCTTCCAGATTGTTTAAATATTCCGGATATTTTAATAGTTTTCTTTAATGGCGGAGTCGCTGCTTTTGTGTTATATTGTCCCCTTTCTGGACGATTATGACTGTCTTTGATGGCGGTTAGTTGAATAGAAAATGTGACGCTACTGAATCAATGTGGGATTTGTAAAGGGAAAGACCCTGTTTTCTCCAGGCGATCTGAGTTTGAGTATGTTTAAATATTGCAATTGAACGTCTTTTTTGGAATTTTATATTTGTCTTTAAAAGATTACGTGCATTACGTTCTACTTTTAACACTCCTTTCTCCGACAAGATCCTTGTTTTGTAAACCATGTTGTATTCAAACCTTCCGTTTCTCTGTAATCTACCGAGTTCTTTCATTCCTAGGCAGGGTGTTATCTGAACTCGTTTTTTTTTTTTTAATACTCTTTTGTTCTTCTTTTGCCCTTGATCACCTGTCGAAGTCTACATTGGAGGAGCGGCTGGGCAAATGGTTAGATCAATACGCTGTCTTGCTGGAGACCCTGATTTAAGTTTGTGTGGGGGGGGGGGGTTTATGCCCTTTGACTCTGCCCTACAAGATGCTTTATGGGGCTCAGGAAACCTGCCCCTTTCCTTCCCATTGTGTGTATGTGTGTGTTTGTGTATGTGTGTTTCTGCCCGCCCTGCCAAGGATTCTCCGGTCGTAACACCATCCCTCAGTAAGTATTGTTGTTAATTTCATGTGTTGTCTTATCGCTATTGTAGCAGCAAAGAAACCGTTGCTAGTTCTGACCGTGTGTCTAGGCGTTGTGGTGAGCATGGTTGATGTTCTAGTGCCAGTGTGAGGCTGTGTCGTTTTAAAGTGCTTAAATATTGTTTCTTCTGCATCTTGATATGTCATGTGCTCTGTAGCCCATGCTTCTACAGTTATAGGCATGTAAGTTCTGCTGCGGTGGCTTCATTCTCATAAGACCTGTTCCTAGCGACTGCTCTAGCCCTGCTACCTTAAATTCGCAGGCTCACGGCCATTCTGTTCTGCAGCACCTTAAAAGCGTCAAATACAGAAAGTAAACGCAGTGGTTGGCACCCTACCACCATGCGTCAAACCGTCTTTATTTTATGATCTCCTACAGTTCCATCTATGACATATTCATATTTAATATTTCGCCCGTGTCTTCACAGTGAAGGTTGTCTGCAGTGGATATGTGTATCCACTGTCTTAGTGTGTATCACCTACTAGCTAGTGAGGATGCGGTCTCTTTAAGGCTGCGATTGTCTTACCAGTGTCATAATGAAACAGTAACTGTCTTGTCTGTCCATTAAATTGCTCTCCGTGTGTTGTTATGTTTTCTGCAGGCCATCCTTACGTTTAATATGGCTAAGATACCCTAATTTTTGGGACAATGCTGTTTATGAGCCAGTTCTCCTTGATTCTGAGATCATGTAGGGCGTCTGTGTTTTACTTCTTCTTGGCCCATGGTATTCCAAAAGCTTAGTTTTGTTCTTCAATAATTGGGTGTTACAGAAATATACATAAGATTATATAAAAAGTGCAGAAAAATGTTTTAAATAAATAAACAGTTGTGCCCCCGGAGACAATAACCTCTCAGCAGTGATGACATGGAAATCAGCATTGTTTTGATCCCCCTTGTCATTGTGTCATTGATATCCCCATGGCAGCGGCCTAAAATAGAGTTTTTGTTTGCTGTTGCATCAAAGGCAACCTCTGGCTCAACATGTTGACAGTAATGGAGGTTGTCTGAAGATTTCTGAGATATGATGTCCTGATGTCTGACTTGTCCAAGAATATCCTAGCTTTCACTACCAAACAGGTCACTAAACATGTATTGATTACTGTATTGTCTTTGTGCATGGAATCATTTCGTAATGTCTTCTGTTTCATTCTGCTCCTTCATTAATCGTCATAAATAGCAAGCCGGTCCCAATAATGAACGGGGTTTCTGGGACATGTGCCCGGGTGATCCTTTTCTGAATGGTGGCATTTTGTGCCACTGGGTGTTAGTTGCTCATTGTGCGGTCCTGGTGGGGTTAAACGACATTCATTGATCCACTTAATTTTTTTTTCTTACTAATTCTGTCTATCCCATTCTTTTCTTTTGTTTTCTTTGCCTTTTTTTTTAATCATGTATAGATAATAACTTTTAACTCTGTCTGTGCCATTCTTTTGTAACAATAATCCACATTCAGTTTGTTGCTGTGACTCCCTCTATGCCAGTTTTCTATTGCTTTATTCCATAAATTTTTTTTTATTTTTTAAAGAAAAAGAATGCTTTTCATGCCTTTGGCATAGCAACATATGGTGCTAAACCTATATTGTGATAGATTAATCGGCACTTGATGGGTAATGTGGTCATCATCACTGTCCACCTGTACTTCCCAAGAGATTTCCTGCTACAGTTGTGTCAGTGGTTCTCTATTTATTTTGCTTCTTTAACTGCTTCTATCTCTTTCTTCTGTGTCAGTTATCTGCCGTCTTCAGTTTGGTACTTTAACTACTGCACCATTCTTCTGTTACATCATCATTATCATTTTGTTTCTTTCACTGCTCTGCTCCATTCTTCTATTACATCAATCCATCATTCTCATTTTGTTTCTTTCACTGCTCTGCTCCATTCTTCTGTTACATCAATCCATCATTCTCATTTTGTTTCTTTCACTGCTCTGCTCCATTCTTCTGTTACATCAATCCATCATTCTCATTTTGTTTCTTTCACTGCTCTGCTCCATTCTTCTGTTACATCATCATTCTCATTTTGTTTCTTTCACTGCTCTGCTCCATTCTTCTGTTACATCAATCCATCATTATCATTTTGTTTCTTTTACTGCTCTGCACCATTCTTCTGTTACATCATCATTATCATTTTGTTTCTTTTACTGCTCTGCACCATTCTTCTGTTACATCAATCCATCATTCTCATTTTGTTTCTTTCACTGCTCTGCACCATTCTTCTGTTACATCAATCCATCTTTCTCATTTTTTTTTTTTTTTTACTGCTCTGCTCCATTCTTCTGTTACATCAATCCATCATTCTCATTTTGTTTCTTTCACTGCTCTGCACCATTCTTCTGTTACATCAATCCATCATTCTCATTTTGTTTTTTTACTGCTCTGCACCATTCTTCTGTTACATCAATCCATCATTCTCATTTTGTTTTTTTTTACTGCTCTGCACCATTCTTCTGTTACATCAATCCATCATTCTCATTTTGTTTTTTTTACTGCTCTGCACCATTCTTCTGTTACATCAATCCATCATTCTCATTTTGTTTCTTTTACTGCTCTGCTCCATTCTTCTGTTACATCAATCCATCATTCTCATTTTGTTTCTTTTACTGCTCTGCACCATTCTTCTGTTACATTAATTTACTTTATTCAGTTTATACTGGATTAACGCCCCCCCCCCCCACCCCCGCCACACACACACCCACAAGATAAGTCACTAAGACTGTCAGTGAGACTTAGTCATTGAGGCTGAGTCAGAGTGAGGCTAGTTTGTCACAGGACCAGATGGTCCACAAATTAACTCTTTTTGGGGATACAGTTTGATTTTAAAATACTTTCTGCTGGATTGAATCCATTTAAGACTTCCTCCTGCTTCACACCTTTACAGCAGTACCAGCTGAAGAATGATGTTTTCTCTCATTTCAGACTCTGCATTACGGGTAAGCATGTTTCACCGGTGCAGGCGCCAATTGCCTCTCTATCAGGAAGTGATTGGGATTCTTCACCCTACTCCTTCCTAGTGGAGGAAGTTATAGAGGAGGATGGTGTTTATGAAGATGTCATTGCAGTGGACTATAAAAACATGTAAGTATTCTTTTGCATCCCAGACAGCTACTGCTCTGTATCTTTCTTCCATGCCATTTATTACTTTTAAATGCTACAAGCTGGGTCAAGTTTCAGTAATACTGCTATGAAAGTTCAAGTTATATGTAGTTTCCTGTCTTTTGCTAGTTGGGTAATTTGTGCTGATGTCATAATGCAATTCTGTAGTGTATCTTTTACTCTGTGAGTCACCTTGGCCTAGCGGCTAGACGCTCACATTCTGATCGTCAGGTACTGGGTTTGCTGCTTGGTGGAGCCGGACTTTAAAAAAAAAAAAATTACCTTTACTTCCAGCCTTGAGTGGGTACCGGCTGCAGTCCCGGAAAGTAAAGGCAGCCGGCGTGATGCTGACCACATCACCCATCTTGTGCCGATTGGTCTATAAAAATAAAGATCTAGCCCTATACGCCTAAAGGCGTGAAAAAGTGACCTTGACTTGTTACTCTTTTACTCCCTGCACCCATCTCTTTCTAGGAAGTTAGGAATGTTTATTGCCTGTTGGCTAAATTTAAAGTAAACTGAAAGCATAGATGAGTTGATGTTTATATTATTTTATTGGCAGATGTTAGCTTCCTTTTAATTTTTTTTATCTTCTTTCCTAACAGTTATGAAGATAACATGGAATATAAGAAACAGATAACTCCTCGTCAACGACGAGTAGGATATCCTCCAGTCACACCGAGTGCTTGTGTAAAGGACAGTGTCCTGAGTGGAGTTTTTGACCATGTTTGGCAAGAAGTATGTATGTTGTGGGGATGTCAAGTTCATATACATACAGGAGCTATGGAAAAATTTTGAGTTAAAAAATCTACGCAAAGTATTTCAGGATCATCGCCGGTGATACAAAGCCTGTGCACTGTGCTGAGCTTCTTCGGACTCAGACTTGAGTTAGAAGAAGAACGGAGCACTTATGGGTTACTACCAGAGTGCAATGATGTTGATCCAATATTTATAACCTCAAACCTGGAATTTTTAAATAGAATTCATTTTTTTTTTTTAGCTCTGTAACAATGACCTTATTCCTATCATCATTATCATCATAGTGCCATGCCTGGTAATTATGGGTTTTCATGGTTTGGCATCTCACATGACACCAGAGTTTAGGATCTTAAAATGAGTGGGTAGTTGAACTATAGTATTCTCTTATTCTCTGGATGCACATCAGCGGTATTTATATATCTTCTATCCATTGAATATGTTTTATTATTTTGGCACAAGAAAATATAATTGTTATTTTTATAATGAGACTAGCTGTACCCGGCCACGCGTTGTTGTGGCATAGTTTGGCTAAATGGAAAAGAAAGAAAATAGAAATTGCACGTGTCAAATATGTTTTATTGTCGCAATCATTGTCTGCTCAGATATAGAGATATTCTTTGATTCCCCCCCCCCCCCCTCCACTAAATCCACCTACTACTCTCTCCCTCATTAAAAGGTTTTTGGAAAAGTAAGACAATGGAAATCGCACTTGTCTAATATAGTTAATCTTGCAATCATTCTCTTCACAGATATAGAGATAGTCTTGTTTTCAAACTTTAGATTACGCACCTTATAATTGTGTCTTTATATTAGTGGTCGTTTAAATGGTGTTATTAGTACAGTAACCAAAATGGTTATTGGTTTTCACATGCTAAAGTTGTTTGTATTTTTATAGGAGACGAAAGTAAAGCTATTACTGTACTTGTAAATAACAAAGTAAGTCTTTAAAAAATTTTTAAAGCGGAGGAAGCGTTAGTAAAATATAAATAATATAAACAAATGAGAACTTTAAAATCATATATGTTAAGCTCTTTAAGTTAACAATTTCAGTCATTACCCCCCCCCCCCCATCCACCGACTACTGCTCTCTACCTCTTCGAAGGATTTGAAAATCATCACCTGGCGTTATTTTTTTTTTTTTTTTTGTAACTGACATTGACATCCCTGTCCATCCGGACTAAAATGGGAAGCAGGAATTGTAATAGGTAGTAAATGGGGTTAGTGTAATATTTACAACATCACCCTTCAAGTACCAGTACAACTACTACCACGACCACCACCACAATAGTTAAAATAATGTCACTGCTATCTGTTTTACCATCGGAGTAGACAGGCAATCGTTAGCCAGTAGATTTGGGGCGGCATGGCTAGTGCTGTCGCCACGGACTGGTCAGGTTAGGATGACAGAAGAACGCCATAACCTTACCGGTGGTCTTCGCATGAGAGCACTACGGTGTAACCACCCAACCACAACTACTACTGCTGCTGCTACTTTGAGTGGGTAAGGCAGTTACTGTGACTTAAAGCTCTCTCAGTAAAGAGTGCGCCCCCTCCCTCCCCCCCCCCCCCAATTCACTGACTACTCTTTCCCTCATCGAAGTAGTTGAGAGGGAAAAAAACACATTCAAAAGCAATGAAAACAGGAAAAAAAACCATAATTTGGAAATGAACGCTATGGTAAACAGCACAGCTTAAAATTCCAACGCAGATGAAATAATTAAATCTAAATGAAAATAAATGTAAAGCTATGACATTTCAGCGTAACCATGCAATCGGAAAGTTTAAAATGAAATCATAAGTATGCGAAATGGTCAAATTTAATTATCAACTGGTTTACCCACATACCCGCCCCTTTATTTTATTTTTTTTTTGTATTAAGGACCACATGGCTAGTGCTGTCGCCACGACAGTGCAGGTAAGGATTTTATTTTGCCCTTGGGTTTAAAAAAAAAAAAAAAACTACTGCGGATTCGAACACTGGTCTCCCGCACAGGAGCCCAGTGTTCTAACCATTAGACCAAGCAACTACTCCATCGGTACAGCGAAAAGAGAACAGAACTATTTGAGATGTATGTTCCTACTACTGTGTCCCTACTACTGTGTCCCGATTATAACACAACTCAAAACCGCAGGCAATTGTTTTCTCATAGACAGATATTCCAGATATATTATTGAAACTACACAATAGAAATGGCACGTGTCTAACACGGTTAATGTTGCAGTCATTGTCTGCGCAGACCTCGAGTTAGTCCTTGATGCCCCCCCCCCCTCTTTTCCAATCCATCGGCTACTCTCCAACTCATCGAAGGTTGTTTGAAAAGACAGTCATTGCCCGCACGGATGTAGAGATAGTCTTGTTTGCTTTACCACGGCCTACTCTGTTTATTAGAGAAGGGGTTGGCCGGACATATCTCGCCGGTGAATGGTGTAAGTCTTGCGTTCTGACTATGGCGCATGCGCATTTACTAATGTGGCTATAATTAAATGTCACTAAAAATGGAAATATTAGTTTCGAAGATTTTTCCAAAAATTGTGGTCACCTATCTCTAACAATGACAGGTTGAATTTTAAACCATGATGGGTAAACATCCGGTATCAAAACAAACATATCCTGAAAATTTCAGCTAAATCAGTTCAGTAGTTTCCGAGTCTATAGCTCATAAACAAACACACAAACATTGATTTATATATATATAGATGTTTTGCTTTGAAACAGCCAGTTTTGGGTTTGAAAGAGTTAAAATAAAACTGCGGATCAGAAGGGACTCAGCTTACGCTTCAGAGATAATCAGTTAATATGATAGCTGTCTCTGATAGGAAAAATGTAACATGAATAGATTTTATTCTAGACTAACTCATGAATGTATAGTGAGTAGCTTGGTTCTGATAAAGTAAATAGGTAAATAAAGTTTAACTCACTTGAATTATTATACTGAAAAATGTATAGTGTTAAACTAGTGTGTGGAATTGTGTTATTATTTATTGTGTCCCACATTTTACTTAAGTGTTCAGTGTTTTATCAGACGACTGGCTGTTATTACTGTCTGAATGTTTCATTTATCAGTTAGTCTAACAAAGAAAAAAACATAGTGGCTAGATGCTTGCTGGAGGTCTGGGATTTGAATCCGCACCAGCCAAAACAGTTCATCTTGGCTCTCAAGTCAACCCAGCCTAAAATTAGTATCAGGAAATGTCCTGGGAAGTACAGATGGCCAGCATAATATTGAACCCCCTCCCCCCTCATTGAGTAAAAATATATTGATAAAAATAAGACTCTAGCCTCTTGTTTATGCAGCCCTGGCAGGAAAAGGGTTTGACTAACTCAACAACATTATGACAGTATACAATTAATCTGTGATGTATAATAGCCTGTGCTTACGTTGTCTCTCAGATTATGTCTTGGATGAGGGAACTGTTAACCAAGTATACATCAGAGATTTCAGGTAACAAACACTAGCAACATTTTTTTTGGGGTACAATTTTGTTTTTGTTTTTTGGAAACACTGTTTGATGGTGTTGAATTAATCATTTTTCTTTTTGTATCTTGTTTATTTCACATGTTATTCTTTAAAATAAATTATGCCTTGCTAAAAAAGAATCTAGTTAATATTTTCTTCTACTTCATTATCTTCTTCTCCCTCTCTTCTCTCCTCCTCCTCCTTCTTCCCTCCTTATATCTGAAGGGCAGTAGCCATGATGCGATCTACTATGCAGTCAATATTTCCTTGTGTACCTTACAGCTTTATCTTTATTTAGGTTGGAATACATGCTCAGAATTTTCAGGCACCAAGTAGCAGGGACACATGTCAATGATTGCTACACACAAAAATTAAACACATATTGGTGAAATCTGTTATGCCCTGCCATTAGTCTGAATTTGATACACTGACTCTGTCTAGAGGCATGATGAAATGAATCTTGGTGGACAAATTTGGTGTGAATATCCAGCCACACTTCTTGGATGCTGGTAAAAGGTAAAATTGGGAGATGTGAACAACCGTCATTGCACATGGTTTATAAACCATAAGTGCTCTGCCACCAGTACAGACAGCTAATAAGAATTGTCCGCCTGTGTCGCCGTTCACACGTCGCTACAGTGATGTTCCTTCATTCACCCCAGAGTGTCAACTCTGGTACCCATTTCCTAGAGGCTGGGTGAACCCCGGGAACCGCCCGTTTTTGAACACCGACGGTGACTACAGCGAGTCGCAGCTGGATTTGAAAGCGAGCCTCTTATCGACTGCGCTAATGCAATTAATGACCTGGTGACTCCTGGTAGATCAACTCACACTTTGTTTACACCATATGACTATAACTTTTTTCCGGTTTGTCTGATATTTTATTGCTAAGCCATCATATCATTTAAAAAGGTATAAAAATTCAGTCTATATAATTTAGGTTCTTGTTTATCCTGCTATTTTTTAACTTAGAGAGGGGAAGAAAAGCTCTGCACACGTTCCCTGGGAGATGGAACTTTTATACATAGTCAGAAGAGAAGAATGCTCTAACATTACTCAAATAAATGTATCCTTTTCGTGGCTCTGATGACCTGAAACTCAATGCCTTTTGGACATTTGGGAATTTGCAGTTAAAACTTCATCCTTCAGAGGATTCACATGCAAACTACTTTTTTGTTTCTAGATTCAAGAAAACATGTAGCTTCATTTTCAAGTCCAAGCATGAATCCATCCACTGTCATGTCCAGAGAAGTCTCACTGATCTTACCTGCCAACAGAGTGAGTATCTATCCCCCTGTCTCATTTCATTGCCATTGTTTGTCTCATGGTTATAGTCTCATTTCATTGCCATTGTCTGGTTTCATGGTCATTACATTGTTTCATGTTTTGTGTCTTGTTTCCTGGTCATTTTAATGTTTCCTGGTTATAGTCTCATTTCTTTTCCATTGTCTGTTTCATAGTTATTGTCTCATTTCTTTGCCTTTGTCTGTTTCATGGTTATTGCTACCATCTACATGTGGGTTTTGTAGCCCCATATTAGGAGACAAAAAATGAACTCACCACTCCCTTAACATGCATGTCATAAGCGTAGACTAATTACTTTTGTTTTCTTCAAAGTTAGAGTGCAACTGCCTCATAAGTGAGGAGCCAACAGTCTGCATTCAAATAAACCAAATCTGTAAAATATATGTTCATGCAAAAATCAAGTTCTAGAGCAAGATTAGAGTCTAGAAGTGGATGAACGACCAGAACTTGTTGCTGCAGTTCCAGTGTGTGAATGATGGAAAGTCCTTGTGTAGGTTCCTGGGCCTCATTGTGGGGGGGGGGGAAAAATAGACCCACTGCCTCCCTAACAAGTATGTTGTAGGAGTCGACTAATCGGGGGCTTCTTTTGAAGTCAGAGTGCGTCTGCCTGAGAGGCAAGGAACAACCAGCTACACACAGTTAAGCCATAAAAGAGATGTACACGCAAAACTTAAGCCCTAGCACAAAGCCAGAGTCCAAGTGGATGAATAATCAGTACTTTTCACTGGAGCTTACAGCCAGTAAACAGAGAAGAAGAAGAATGATAAAAAGAAGATATACTACTTGAGTACATTTGCTCATGTATTACTGAGGCCTGTGAGGAAAGCAAAGAACAGTAACATTACAGTTTAACCCCATCATACGTATTGTAGGAGTTATCTAAGAAGGTGAGACTGATGCAGCGGGGAATGACAAGGGATTCTGGCCAATGCTCGACGCTTAGGGGAAAGACAAGACAAACTATTTCATGAGAATGCTACTGGCACCATTAGTAAAGGAACTCTGCACTAGCTGCTGAAATGGGGATGAAGCACTTATGGAAATGACCAGTGTTCTGTGATGTCAGTTCTTGAATCAACTCAACGCAACAGTAAGAAGTGTTAACATGCATATGGCTACGTCATCTCATTAAAATGAGTTGACTGCTGGCTTAATTAATTAGAATATGAATATCAGAAAAAGGAAAGGTGAAGAAATAAAAAAGAATATAGTAAACTATAATTTTTTTATTTTTCAAAGACTTCATCAAAATATAGTTTTCTCTATTGTTCCAGCAACATTCATTCCTACATTCCAACACTCACATGGGTAGTGGCAGTACAGAGAAATCTATCAATGAACTTCTGCACATATCCAGTATGTCCTTAAAGAACAGGCCACATGGGCATCATATGTGAGTATATGTGGCATCAGTTACTGGCAGTAACAAACTGTTTTTGTAGATGAGTGTTGTATTAGTTGTTAACTCATTTCATACCAAGCAGTTGTTAATTAAATTCCTCATATTCCAAGAGGAGCAGTTCAACAGAGACATTATAGAACAGAGGTAGTTAAACTAATAGTTTAGATAGAATTGGTTCATATAAAATCTGTCAGTGATAGAGTGCAGCAAGAACATTATGTTATCTTCAGAAACAAAGGAAACCTATGATGCTCTGTTTGGGACTAAAAGAGTTAACTTTAAGTAATAGCTAAGGAATAATCACATGTATATTTGTCAGATATGAAATGATACTGTGTGTGTGTGTGTGTTTTGTTTTTTTATCTGACAAAAGTATGGGACACTGTATAATTTATATGTATAAAAAATGAAGTGATACTGTCACATAAAAATATTTTATAAGTGAGATAAATCTGTCAAAGATAAGGTGATTCAGAGTTGTGTTGGTCTGACAGGAATGAAAGGATACTGTATAGTTTACATCAGTAAAAAATGAAGGGTTACTGCCAAATAAAAGTAGTGAGAAGTGAGAAAAGTGTTCAAAATGTGGATCTAACCGAATTAAAGGGATATTACTTGGGTCCAAATGAAGTGATACTGCCTAGTGAAAGTACAAGGGGAAGTCAATAAGTATGTCACAGATTGTTGTTTAATAAAAACTAAAGAGGATAACAACTTGAAAACCATTTATTTTTACATGTACACTGTCCCTTTAGTTTTCAACACAATTTCCACAAACATTGATGCAATTGTCCCATCATTTTATCAGTCCTCCCAAACTTGCTGAATAGAACTGTATGCTCTGTTTTTTAAACCACATTTTTACTTCTCATTCAACTTCTGCATTATTTGCAAAATATCTCCCGCCAATGTGGGTTTTCAGTTGACCAAAAAGGTGGAAATCACTAGGGGCTAAGTCGAGGCTGTAAGATGGATGTTCCAAAAGTTCCCACCCTAGATGTTTAATTTTCTTGTGAGTTAACTGAGTTGAATGTGGTCTGGCATTGTCATAAAGGAACAGTACTCCTCTAATTAGCAGGCCTGGACCTTTTCTATGAATTGCTTCATGAAGCATAGATAGAACTTTACAGTATGAATCAGCATTCACATTGTCACCTGCTCTTTTTTTTTTTAAATTGGTTAAAAGCACTCCTTGACAATCCCAGAACACTGTCAGCATGACCTTCCCCTGCTGCTGGCATAAGCTTGAATTGTTTAACACAAGGCAAAGAAGGATGTTTCCACTGCATTGAAGTACATTCAGTCGCCATTTTGTTTCTATGTTGTAAATGCGCATGCTACCAAATGAATGGAGACATAAAGTTTAATGTTGCTTTCACGTAATGACACCTTTAAAAACCAGCAACTACATTTTCATGCCAACCCATTTGTGACTTGCTTATTGGCTTTCCCTCGTATTTCAGAAGTGAGATTAGTCTGTCCAAGATTAGATAATTCAGAGTTGTGTGGGTCTGAAAGGAGTGAATAGATGCTATTTTGTACATATCTATCATAAGTGAGGTAATACTGTTAGAAGTGGTACTACATTTTTCAAGTCGGATACCAAGGATGTGATACTGTGTTGTTCAAATCTGTTAGAAATGAGTATAAATGGGTCAGATATGATGTAATTTATAACCATGCAAGCAGCTTTATTTTAAAATACCTACATGTTTTTTTTATTCAGCGATCCATCAGAGCCTCATATTCTGGGTGGTCCTTCTACTCAGTCTGGATCCAGTTTATCTCTGTCTCGGCCACCAAGCATTCATAGGCTCTCACTACGAGGAGCCAGAGGAGGTCGTCTTGCCCCTATAGCAAAGACACCAAGTCTTGTAAGTCTGCCATTACAGTTTGTCTGTTTAATCCTTTCCTTCATTGCCTGAGACACAAGATTTTGTTGTTGCAAATTCAAATCCTGCATGTTTGAGCTTAGATGTCACAAACAAAATCTTAGAATACTATGGATCAAGAATAAAAATACTGACATTCTAGCAGATTTGGGCACTCGAGAGAACTGGCTGATAAGTATCATGTCTTGGAGTTTGAAATTTTTTGATCACTGTAAATATCCCTGATTTCAACATCATCATGTAGCAGATTCTTTGCAGACCGTCACTCTCATCAAAGCCTGCCTGAAAGACACTCGATCTCTGTCCAAACTCTTGCCTTATGACTTTTCCTGTTCAAGGTGTCACTTATATCATGTGCCCATTCTCATGCTAGTTGGCCCTTGTCCCTCCTTTTCTGATACCATGCCGTCTGCCACTGTTCTTTCCAATCTGCTGTGGCATATGATATGGCCAAAATATTTTAATTTCCACTGCAAGGTGCTGTTTACTAGCCAATCTTTCTTGATGTTCAGATCTTTTAGGATGTCAGTATTTCTATTCTTCTTGATCTGTGGTAATAATTTTGTTCTTATTCCTGGTGCTGTTGCACCCAGTAAATCCACTTGTTCATTGTCTTCCACTTCTGTGTGCACTTACATTATTTCCTTAAAAGCCCCTTTGGAACTGCCTGATCATTGAAGCTTTTCTGTTTTTTAATTATGTATTTTCAGGATGAAGATAAAACCAGTAACCATACTACAGAAGCTTTAAGGGTCAAGGGGCGGAACCCAATAAGCAATGAGTTGCTACATTCTCCATCCTCAAACTTCCAAAGAAATGTTTCCTTGCCACCTTTAGATATAGTGAGGACACAGGTAATTGAATTGTTTTTCTCTTCTAGTTCTTCTCAGTTTGTTGGAAGAGTTCAGTCAGATGGACATAATGATTGCATTCCCATAGCTGGTGGAGTGAGCCTGAGAACATTTGAGAGCTGGTTGCTGATGTCTTGTGCACTTGTGAACCGAACGACACAGTTCATGAAATGAATTTACAACTGTCAGATCATGAGGAAGACTGCTTACCCATTTAGCTAGATAACAAAATCAGTGCAGGTTGAAATTTGTAAAGGCGGGCTGTTCACACAAAAATCATATTGGTAACTTTAAAACTACCACTGTAACACTTTTATCAAAACAAAACACTATATGTTTGTAGCATTTCCATAGATGTATCTGTTGTGTTACTTTGTAGTATGTTAAATTTATTCTGTGGTGAGCAAACACCCGATGATAAACTGAAATATTTCCCTGTACTGTGCAAGTTGTAGTTTGAATTTTCGGTGTTTATATTTATTGTTATTATTGCTGGAGTGGCTGGCCAAGTGGTTACAACATCGGGCTCTCATGTGGGAGACCCAGGTTCAACCCCCAGGTAAAGTGATGGATTTTTTTTTGTCAGTCGCAAAATTAAACACCCCTGACCTGCACAGTCCATGGCGACAGCACTAGCCATGCTGCCCTAAATCCTCAGCCTCCGGATCCCCTTGTTTACACTGCTCTAAAAAGCTTTTAAAACAGATAGTAGGGAATTTTTTTTCACAAGTGTTATAATATGTTGTTGATATTTATTTGTCATCATCATCATCCTGTTCTGTTGTCACACATCACCAGGGCTCGCAGTCTGGACTCCCTTTCCATCTGTCCTTTGCATTCCTTTCGATACCATGGGTGGATTCCAGTCCAGCACTATTGGCCTCTCTCAACAATGTTGGTTTGAGAGTTTCTGTTGGATGCACTTGTTCCTAAATCCCTTTTTTTTTCTATGTCATTGCCTGTTTGTTGAATCTCTGCTTTTTGTAGTGTCACCTTCTTTGTCATATATTTATTGTTACCATAAGTTGTCCAGACATTTTTCTTCTTTCTTCACCTCTATTTAAAATCGTCTTTCACCTTTTCCCGCAGGCATTTATTTGTTAATACATTTAGTTTTCCTTCCGCATCTTTAGTGATTCTTTAACTTTCACTGGCTTCAGTTACAATACAAATAACATATTTTTTTATTTACATTATTCATTTTTTTCTTTAAAAAAAGTTCATGACGTTCAGTTTTTCTGTAGTTCCACCTGCATGAAATTAGGTGCGGTCAAGAAGTTATGTTTGTTATTGAGTTAATTAGTCTTTATACTCATTGGGTTTCTTAACTTTTGATGCATTTTTTAATATGTTCCATGCAGCAGTTGTTATATGGTCCTGTTTCTGTGCAGTTGTTTGTTAGTTTCTTATCAACATTTCTATGTTCCCTATTTGGAAAGTTCTTATTCGTGTAAGGTGTATATTTATTAATTCTTAAGTTGTGTACCTGATCCAACAAATAATATAGTTCCACCTTGCATTTTGTATTCACATAAGTTAGATTCTTAAATCCATTAAAAGTAATTTGTTTGCTTATTAAACAAGCCTCTCTTTAATACTGTTCATCACCTTTTGTGGGGGTGTTGGGGGGCATTGTCTCAAGGCATGGTGTCCACTGTGACTGCTAGAGGTTCCGGTTTCAATCCCTGGTAAGGGCTGGGATATTTTTCACATGGACCTGGACTTCTAGTAATTCCCCCTGTTCTCTGGGTAGTGAGATCAGACGCCCGTGTGCATTGTTGTGCACGTTAAAAAAAAGTACTTGGCAGTTGAAAATTGAAAACAATAGCCTAACGGCACTGACCGAGCAGAATTTGGAGTTTTAAATTTTCCCAAAGTATTTCAGGATCCTCGCCAGTGCTACAGAGCCTTTGTGCTGTGCTGAGCTTCTTCAGACTCTAGCTTGAGTCAGAAGAAGAAAGGAGCACTTATGGGTTACATCTGTGTGCCGTGATGTTGATCCGTTGTTCAAACCTCAAACCTCTTGTGATTAATTTAATTTTCTTTTGAATATTTGTGTTGCAAGATTGTCTAGTACCTGTTCTCTCTACCAAATCTATCCTTGGTTTGGTGACCAGTGTTAATTTACTTTATCAGCTAATTATCTGGGTTTTAATTTAATTTTGGATGTTCACATTTTTCAGTATAGAAAACTACATCAGGGACACAGGGCTGCTAGTGCCATTGACAACAAAGATGTGCGCTTGTTGTCCTACAGAGAGAAGACATATTTTGTGGCTGACTTGGCCAGGCCAAACACTACAAATGCCATGCGGGTAAGATTTTTTCCTCTGGCTGTTCATGTTTCACTCTGCGGTGTTAATTTATATCTGTGACTCCTGTGACTTTTTTTAAAGCCAAGTTTATGTCAAATTGTTCCCTAAGCCTCATTGATAGAAGTCATGGGGTTAGGGCATGAGTCAACTAATACATATTGTTTATTAGGCCCAGCAAATGTGTTCCATTTAATGCTTCACTGGTTTCATGTTTATTGATTACCTTTTCTTTAAATCTGTATGTTTCGCACAAATGATTTTTTTACATGAAATAATTTTTTTTAATGACAAATGTATTAGTGGTAAATGTAATGAGTTTTTTTTTTTTTAAAGGATGCTTTCTGGGAATTCCCACAGGTTTATGACCTTTTTATTTTAGCATTTGCAAAGTTGCATTTGAAAGTGTTAAGACCAACCTGTTTTTAAATCTAAAGGCCTATAAAGATAGGTGGTAGTGCATTGTTAGCATGCAGGCTTGCCTGATGGCGGTCATGTGTTTGAGTCACCTTTGAGGTGGGGATATTTCTTAAGCTCCTGCACCCAAGTTTATGTGAGTACCAAGACATTTCTAGGGAATTTGAAGTAATTAGTATGCTATTAATAACATCATCCTTGAGTGCCGATCATTCTAAAAAAAATATGGTTCATCAGGCTCCTTACTCTTCTGACATAGTTCTTTGTAATTCTTTTTATTTAACTTCACCCAAAGCTGTAAAGGCCACTAAACGGGGCCTATTTTATCTCTTTAAGTACCATTCAACGCACCACATGTGACCGAATATCACTTGTATGCATCGGTCAGTATGTTATTATGTTTGTACATCTATCAATTAGTCAGAGTAAACTAAACAAAACTCCAAACATATGTGTACCCCCTTCATTGTGCTGTGTAAAGTGGTCACATTGGATGCACTATACCCATGATTTTGAGTTATTTTTCATTGCTTCAAATGGACATAGCTATGATTTTGTGGAACTGAGTTATGTGTAAGATTATCTTCACAGCACATCTATAGGCGCTCAGATTCCCCTCTTAACATATTCATCAGCATCGTGCGGTTAATAGTACCAGTCCTATGTTGGTTAACAAGACTTCCTGTGCGTCCAGTGTGCTTCTCATGCTTGGCTGTGCCGATCTTTACTCCCAGTTCGCGTATTCTTAGCAGTGATGTGGACACGTTGCTTCCAAAATCCTCAGAACGTCCTATCTCTCTAAGGTAATGACTATGTCTGCGTGATCCATGGGCCAGCCATCTTTAATTAATGCAGCACCTGCCAGTCTGTTAGCTCTCTCATTACTAACAACGCCTGCATGCCCTGGGACAAATATCAAGGTAACTGCGCATACAGGAGAGTTTCGCAACGACTTAAACCACTGTCTGCGTAAGCAGCCTGCCTCGGCCTGCCGGATCATGCTGAAAGAATCACTCAGCACACACACAGGGGAATATTCCTGTGATCCCAGCCACATGAAAGCCTGTGTCACCACCATCACCTCCATCGTCATGCTGCTGGTGGTCATGGAGAAGGCACCACTGGCTTCCTGAACTGTTCTGCCTGAAGAGCGAGCTGTAAATGCCCATGCACTTGTGGAACTGAAAGAGTTAAGCCATGAGAAGACAATATTGGAATAAATCAGCCAAGATGTACTCCATTCCCCTCCCTCCCCCTCCTCCCCCCCTTTCCCAAAGGCCATCCTGAAATGCCTCCAACAGGGTTGGGACCCCTAGGAGAAGTGTGTACAGACACAAGGAGACAGCTTTCAAAGGTGCTAGGTTTTGGTTAGGTCTGTCTACCTCATGCTTACCTGCTTCAGCTTTTCTGTCAAGGTTGTTTTTATAAGAGTATATGTATTTAATAAGAAACCAGTATTGAAATGTTATATCCAGCTTGTTCTGTCGTATGCTAGTGAATCTTGGAATGTGAGCAAATAAATTAGGAAGAGTATGGAGGCAACTGAGATGTGGTTCTTGAGAAAAATGTTGCAAGTACCTTGGCCTGCCAGCCATAATCACTAACAATGATTGCCCGGAAATGGCTACTGAAAGTAGAACATTATATACAACAATGAGAAGGAGACAAACAAAGTTTTTTTGGTCATGTGATGACAAAAGGAGCACTGGAAAATATCATAATGACTGGAAAGATCACAGGTAGAAGAGGCTGAGGCAGACCAAGAGAAATGATGGTAGATGGCTTAAGACAGTGGCATGGGAGAATATCTTCAGTAGAATTGATCCAGAACACCAAAGAACGAGATCTGTGGCGACTCAGGAACGCCTACGCTAGCTGGCAAGGCACTTGATGATGATGATGTGTATTTTAGTGTGGCCAAATATTGCACCTATCTCATGTTTATTTCTTTGAACAACTCTCTTTTCATTCACAGTTACTACAGAACATCAATATTTGACTGTTACAACTCTCTTTTCATTCCCAGTCACTACAGAACATCAAGATTTGATTGTTACAACTCTCTTTTCATTCCCAGTCACCCCAGAACATCAATATTTGATTGTTACACCTTTCTTTTCATTCCCAGTCACTGCAGAACATCAATATTTGATTGTTACACCTCTCTTTTCATTCCCAATCACTCCAGAACATCAATATTTGATTATTACACCTCTCTTTTCATTCCCAGTCACTCCAGAACATCAATATTTGATTATTACACCTCTCTTTTCATTCCCAGTCACTCTAGAACATCAATATTTGATTGTTACACCTCTCTTTTCAATCCCAGTCACTCTAAAGCAATAATATTTGATTGTTACAACTCTCTTTTCATTTCCAATCACTCCAGAACATCAATATTTGATTGTTACACCTCTCTTTCCATTCCTAGTTACTCATCAGTATTGATTGATACAACTCTCTTCATTCGTAGTTACTCCAGAACATCAGTATTTGATTTTTACAACTCTCTTTTTTATTCCCAGTCACTACAGAACATCAGTATTGGATTTGATTGTTACACCTCTTTTCATTCCCAGTCGCTCATCAGTATTGATTGTTACACCTCTCCTTTAATTCCCAGTCACTCATCAGTATTTGATTGTTACACCTCTCTCTTCATTCCTAGTCACTCCAGAATATCAATATTTGATTGTTACACCTCTCTTTTCATTCCCAGTCACTCTAGAAGATCAGTATTGATTGTTACACCTCTCTTTTCATTCCCAGTCACTACAGAACATCAGTATTTGATTGTTACACCTCTCTTTCCATTCCCAGTCACTCGAGAACATCAATATTTGATTGTTACAACTCTCTTTTCATTTCCAATCAATTCAGAACATCAATATTTGATTGTTACACCTCTCTTTCCATTCCTAGTTACTCATCAGTATTTGATTGTTACACCTCTTTTTTCATTCCCCGTCACTATTGAACATCAGTATTTGATTATTACACCTCTTTCTTCATTCCTAGTCACTCCAGAACATCAATATTTGATTGTTACACCTCTCTTTGCATTCCCAGTCACTCCAGAAGATCAGTATTGATTGTTACAACTCTCTTTTCATTCCCAGTCACTCCAGGAGATCAGTATTGATTGTTATAACTCTATCTTCATTCCCAGTCACTCCAGAACATCAATATTTGATTGTTACAACTCTCTTTTTATTCCCAGTCACTCATCAGTTTTTGATTGTAATTTTATAAATAAATGTACTGTTTTAATGAATATCAACTTTCCACAGGATTCTGATACTCAGTATAATGGAAACCAAAGCAGGAGGTCCTCGACAGCCCTGGGAAACACTTACTCTTCCAGAAACCATGTACTCGGTAAACACTTATCAGTCATGTGATAACACATCTTTCATTGACAGTTTTACATGCATGTTTCACGTTTACTGATTTTCAGTGGCAAGCAATTGAGTTGAGTTGAGCTGATTCAAGAATTGACATCACAGCACTTCGGGCATTCCTATGTGTGCTCCGTCCTCATCTTCAGCAACCAGCGCACACTTCCAATACTGATGGTACCGGTCACAATCTGGTTAAATGTCCGTCTTGCCTTTCCTCTTTCTGCCAGCCAGACCCTCTGGTTACACCCAGGTGCCTCATTCTCTCCAGGCCATAATAATCTGGTTTCTCTACTGATTCCGTTGCTTGTTTCCCAAAGGGTCTTGACCACATCTGCCTTGTCGTGTATCAATTCACCACCCAGTGGTGCAGATTCAATGGCAAGCAGATGAGACTTCAATTCCTGCTGTCTAAAATTTTTATACATGGTCAGGTGTGGGAGTAACATCAAATTGGGGGTTAAACCCCATGTGGATTTCAGGGCCCTGATGTGTGAGTCTCTGTGTGTGTGTGGGGGGGGGGGGGGGGATGGTGGATCTGCTGAGCTCCCAACAAGCATGTCATAAAAGGCAATTGATTTTTGTTCATCCATCACGAGTGATAAAGACCACTTTCATCCAAAGTAGTAATGATCCATGATTATGAGTACGAAGGTGACTGATTAGTCCAGTTTGAGCCTGGAAGTTCTTGAGCAGTGCGGACAACAGATGGAAGCCGCAGTAAGTGTGGGATTAGCGATACAATTTTCTTCTAGTCTGCCTCCGTTTCTCTGCCTGTGCAAACTCCGCTGCCTGGCAGGCCAATGCACCATGCGTGAGGGACGTACGCCATCCAAAATGGTCTTGAACAGCAGCCTCCCACGTTGCTGTGTGGATGCATAAAAGGCAATTGATTGAGAGTTTGCTGACATCAGATGTTTTGGGCAAAAGGTGCAAATATCACAGCCTAGCAGTAAATCCCAGCACAATGTGCCAACTGCCCTTATAAGAGTGAAAACATGAGAAGCAGAACTGTGGTAATACTGCTGGCATAGAAGGAATTAATGATTAAGATCATCGGTGTACTGTAATAAAATAGTGCACATTGTAATTACCTCTATCTTATATTTTCATCTGTTCAGTTAATCGATCCCTTGATATCCGAGGGAACAGTCTGCAGTTAGGAGGCGACTCAGTCCACATTCATCCAGATATCCAGGAGGACCTGCAGGAGGGTACAGGGGAGGACATATATCACACACATTGGAGTAAGTCACCTTGAAGACAGTCAGATAGAAGTTTCACATGCTGTAAGCCAAGTTCCTGATTTGCAGACGTTACTTCTTGCAAGAAGAATTTTTAACTGTTGTATTTATTTATGATTGCTTTGGTTGATGAGTTTTGGATTGTTAGCTTTATTTCTGTTAAGGAAGTAAATGTTACAATGTTCTCTTTGTTTCTGTTAAGGAAGTAAATGTTACAATGTTCTCTTTGTTTCTGTTAAGGAAGTAAATGTTACAATGTTCTCTTTGTTTATCTTTGGAGATGAGTTTTTAAAATGTCATCTGCTATCTTCGAAAAAATAAAATCTACCTCATAATCTTTATTTATTTTGGGGGGAAAATTCAGAATATTTAGCTTTCGTTCATTTTTGAAGAATGTTGTCGCCGAAGCTACAGGGCACATGCTCTGCGCTTGACACATTATTCAACGGTTAGTGAAGAGGGAGTGAGGAGGAGACGACGAGGAAATGGGGAGAGAAGAAGGCATAGAAATAGGAGGGCATGTGCTAGGAGAACAAGACGAAAAGCGGAGAGATTGAGCTTTAATCATGTAAGAGTAGGATGCTGGAACTGTCGGAGTGCTAGGCAGAAAAGTCCTGTACTGGAGAGGTTGATATCATTGCCCGGGGTACGTCAGTTATATAAACCCTGTTGGACAGGAGAGACATGGACAAGGTCTGGTGGTAAAGGAGGGAGTTCAGCATGTGGTGCATGACTTGAGCCAGTGGAACCACAGTGAACGAGAGGTTCAATGGATACAGGTGGAAATTGGTGGCTTAAGTTGGAACCTCATTAATATATATGCCCCGGTAGGCTGTTTTGTCAGAAGTGAACAGTGGAGCTGGCTCAAGGAATTGGAGGAGTTACCAGGTGATAGGTTACTCATATGTGGGGATTTCAACGCATGGGACAGCAGTGGAGAAAACCGACAGGAAATTGCTCTTGCAGAACATCAATAGACCATGGTTGACTCCGATATGGTCTGCATCAATGATGGGAGGCCGACTAGAATGGCAATGAGGTCTGGAAATGCAGACACGGCCATTGACTTGACATTTGTCTCTCAGTCGTTGGTTTTAGATGTTAAATGGACTGTCCTGAATGACCATGAGAGTGATCACCTACCATATTCAGTCTTGATTTCTAAACTCAGTAAGGTTAAGGTTGGGAGAGCACGCAAGACCTTCCAGTATAAGTGGACCAACAACCTACTTGGACGCCTTAGACGGGGAGCATGCAAAAGAACTGCCAGAACTAATTTTCTACAGCCCCTATGGTGGACTCCAGAAGTAGAACAGGCATGGAAGGCAAAGAGAGCCGCAATGAAGCAGCTAAAGAAAGTACGACAGACACCCTCAAGCTCACGAGAGGAAGTGGAGATGGCGGAGAATGTGAAAAAAGATAAGGTGGAGGTTTTCAAGCGCTGTGCTGCAGAGGCCAAAAGAGCAAAGTGGGAAACTTTTGTGAATGATATGGGAGGCAATAAAACATTGGGGAAATTCTGGAAACTGCAAAGGCAGATGCAAAGTAAAGATCGGCTTATGACAGTTGGAACAATCATTAGAGACGATGGTGTGCGTGTGACAACAGACAAGGAGAAAGGGGAGGCTTTTCTCCATAGGGTTATAGCTCAGACAGATCATAATGATGTAGACATCAGGGATGCAGTTAGAAAGGAGTTAGCTGGCACCTTGAAGAATTTGCATTATGAAGACATGATACAAGTGGAAGATATCAAACAAATTTTGAAAAAAGCAAAAGACACTGCACCAGGGCCTGATGGTGTCAGGTATGGTCACATGAAGGTTTTGAGCGATGTAGACCTGGCGGAGATGGCTGACAGAGTATTAAGACAGCATCAGTACCGCAGAACTGGGTGCACAGCTATCCCACTACCAAAACCTTTTAAAGATCATACAAAGCTTAGTGGCTTTAGAATCATCACCTTACAAAACACATTTGGGAAAGTCTTGGAGAAGATAGTTGCTGTAAAGTTACAAGAATTTTTGGAAAGGGAGAAGCTTCTCCCAAGAGGTCTGGGAAGTTACAGGCCAGGAAAGGACACTTGGGCGCATGTGGCCACTTTTGCTTTTGACGTCTATGAAGGGTTCCAGAACAGACAGGAAACTATGGCGGTAGGACTGGATCTCGAGGATGCTTACAACAGCGTGAGATACGACATCTTAATGACTGCACTGAGGGAGAAGGAGGTCAATCCATGGCTGGTGAATTGGGTTGCAGCTGTCCTGTATTCACGTCGGATTGCTCTCCGACTGGGCTCATGGACCTCTGAACCATGCACTTTGGCCCCAGGACTGCTACAGGGATCCGCCATCTCACCTGTGCTCTTCAACATGTATACGATAAAGATTGCAAGCCTAGAAGCACCAGGAGTTGGAAGGATACTGACTTTTGCGGATGATATACTTGCATATAGGCAGGGGGAAGAGAGGGAACAAACAGCTCGGGAGCTACAAGCGACAGTAGACAAAGTGACTGAGTGGTGTACAGAAATGAAGGCTGTCGTCCACCCGGAAAAGGCGTCTGTTTGTGGTGTTCTCTGGACAACAGAATCGTTAAAACTAATGTCCAAAGTCTCACGATAGATGGTAGAGACGTCAACAGAGAGAGCAAACTGGAGTATCTGGGAATTATATTTGACAGGAGCCTGTCATTTAAGGACCATGTGGAGAGTGTTGTGACGAGATGCCAAAAAGGACTTAGTGCACTTAAGACTATGGATGCAATTGACATAGAGCAAAGAATGCTTTTCACACTATATCAGCACCTGATCCTGTCAGTGGTGGATTACGGCCTTGGACTGCTTACCGTTTCAAAGAGCCAGATGGACAAACTAGAGTGCATACAGAACGCGGCTATGCGGGTCATTCTGGGTTGCACCAGAGACACCCCAGTGGTGTGTATGCGACAAATCCTTGGTTTGCCGACAGTTGCAGATAGGCACAAGGTGCTGCAGGCGAAGTCATATCTCAAGGTAGCTGCAGACACAGACCACCCCCTGCATGAGGCTCTGGGTGCAGTTAAGGGTCAGCGGCTGATAAGAGGGAGGTCATGGATGGCTCAGGCAGAAGACACAATCAGACAGGTTTGCATCCTTGAGAACATTAGGCGAGGAGAGGAGTGGGTCAAAGTGCCAGCTGAGCAGTCAGACTTGTATAGAGTCATAATCACGCTGAGCTGGGAATGCAGAGACTGGCCAGCAGGGGCCACAGAGGTGGAAATTCAGCAATTAAATCAAGATAATGCTCGCTCAGAGGATCTGATCATTTATACAGATGGTTCAGTGTCAAGAGGCAAAAGAAGTGCTTGGGGCTTCTTAGCAAAAGTTAATGGTCTACGTTTGGTGCAGGAGAGCCTAGCATATGATACCACAACATCCAGCTTAAGAATGGAGGTGGAGGCGGTCACTGCAGCTTTCCGCTGGCTAGAAAACACGTCAAACACACACATCATGATTGTAACTGATTTAGAAAGCATGCTGAGGAAGATCAGAACAGGTATGCTTCGTGCAGAGTGGCATGCTTCGCTGCAAAGGACACGAGTGAGGAGTATTGTCTGGATTTTTTCACCGGGTACGCCGGTGTGTTGGGAAATGAACAGGCGGACAAACTGGCTGGCTCTGCACAACTTGGTGGAATACTGCTACATGATAGGGCAGACGTGGTTAGTGCCTTGTGGGAGAGCGTGTACAATTCGGAGGAGCAGATGGATCACTACAGTCTGGTGAGATTGATACAGTTGGGGGTGACGAGAGGTTCTGGGCAGAAGCTCGAGGCTCAGAGGAAAGGCAAGACAGACGTTTATTCAGAAAGCTACTAGCACCTTTAGTATTGGAACTCTTCGCTGGCTGCTGAAGATGGGGACGAGGCGCTTATGGGAATGCCCTGAGTGTTGTGATGTCGGTTCTTGATTCAAATCAAATCAAATCAAGAATGTTGTGTTTTTTTAATGAAAAGTAAATTTTAAAATTCTGTATGCATATACGAATACGCATATTTTGAAAAAATATTACGTTAAAAATTAACAGTAAAGATTTGTACATTGTGAAGAGAAACCAAGAGTGACTTAAGTAAAATATTCTTTCTGTTACCTACTTTTTTTTTTTTTTTTTTTTGAATTGCAGTTTTAAAACATTACCTCTGATTTTTATATAATATTCATAAAATAAAATAGCACTTGAAATGTCATCTCTGGTAATGCATGCTTGATAAGTGAGGTTGATCTAATATCCTAGGAGGTAAAGGCATCCAGTAATTTGTTGGCCATATTACCCGTCGAGTCCCATGTGGTCTGTAAAAATATAGGTCCAACACTTTTTGTCAAATGTGTGTTTAAAGGGATCCTTAATTCATCTTTGCTAGTGAGTTTGATCATCTTGTTTTGATTTATCACAGAAAGGTGTTTTTAGACATTAATTTCTGGTTATTTATATTGAGAATGAAAGTTCTAAAATGGTACTTTTAGTTTAATGAAATGTGAGTTTTTATGACAAGAGAACTGAAGCATATTCTTTAAACGTAAAATATTAATTTCTGGTTATTTATATTGAGAATGAAAGTTCTAAAATGGTACTTTTAGTTTAATGAAATGTGAGTTTTTATGACAAGAGAACTAAAGCATATTGTTTAAACGTATAATATTTTTTTTTTTTTATATTCAGTTAGTTTTGATAATTTTTCATTTGCTTCCTGGGCTAACATGTTGATGCTATAAACCATAGATAATTCCATTACCAGTCATTAAGTTTGTGACAGAGATATTTAAACTAGCGACATGTCTACATGTGGGCTGACAGTTCACCTTATGTAATAATTTTACATGTGTGTAGCCAACTTATCATAGCTGACTACTTCCATCAATCTGACAAACTGCATTTTTGTTAGCGACTGTTGGCTTTGGTACCTCTAGCAACTGCCTTATGCATTTACTGCATGCGCATATTTCTGGAATGTGCCGGGACTAATTGTTTGTTCACCTT